AGACATGGAAGTAAAAACTGGATGAGTTGAGTTCCCATTGGTGAGACCTTCCCTGTCCCCACTTGTGTACCAGCACTGATGTAGCCAGATGAACTTGAGCAGGAAATGGTGCCAGGAGAGCCGTGGTGGCAGATGGCAGAGAGCAGAGCAAGCTGTGGCCACCTTGCCGTGGCATCAGCCCAGCACAGCCACCGGGGTGTCTGCTGAAGGTGGGGATGCGCCCAGCGCTCTTCCCACCATCCCCATCCCACACTCAGTGTGGGAGAGGGTCCGTCCTGGTGCTGAGGGGCTCGGTGCCACTGGGGAGGTGCCCTTGGGGACCCACACTGCCCTTGACACCCTCCCTTCAGCCCCACTCCCAAGGCACAGCTATTTTCCCTGTGGTGGCTGAGAGACCCCGTGGCTCCGTGGGGAGCCAGCAGCTTTCCAGCAAGCCAGAGATCCATCTCCCAGGCAGGGGAGCTGCAAAGCCCACATGGTGCTGAGCTCCCACTCCCAAAGGTGCCGGAGGGCCCTGCATGGTGGCTCCACACTGAACCCATCCAACCACGGGCACAGGAGTCAGTCAGAGCGTGCCAGCCTCCTCCTGCCTGCATCTGCCCATTGCGGGGCCACCAAGTCACCGCTGAGGAAGGGAATGGGCTGGGGACATCTCTCCATGGGGCACAGGGGTCCGTGCAGCTCATCCCTCCTCCCCAAAGCAGGGCAGCTGCATCCCAACCAGGGGGACAGCCCTGTCCACTGCCCGCTGCCCGTGAGCCACAGGGATCCAGTGTTGTCTTCTCACGCAGGACAAAAACAGATGTTGAAACCCCAGACTTTCATTATTAATCATTCCTCTGCGCCACTCCATCACTGCTGCCCCGTTGGCTTGCCGGCATTAATTGGGTTTCAGATCATTATTATTATTATTATCATTATTATCCTCTGTGATGTTGTGCCAGAGGTTTGAGGCGGGTCCCCATGTGCTCTTTCATAACAGGTCCCTGGCCAGGCGTGGCTGTGTGAACGCAGCCTGCGCGCCCCAGCTTCACGTCCCCACCTCTGCCCGGCTGTGCAGCGATGCAGGCGACCTCCACACCACCTCACTGACCACTCATCCATTCCCAGATGGGCTTTGGGAAGGGGGTGCTGGCACCCCAGGTGCAGGATCCTCGCAGCTCTCCGTGTAGCACAGCAGCTCTGAGGTTATGAGGCTGTACGTGGATCCTCCTCGCTGCTGCCCAGGGGCTGGGAGAGCAGAGAGCATCTCCCACCCAGGAGGGTGCTGGCCTGGCACTTGTCCCTGCTACATTGACCCCGATTTGGGTCACCTTGAGGGTCAGGACAGGGGAGAAGAGCCAGTCCTTGGCAGCTGCAGGCAGGGATGGCGGCAGCTCCACCATGGTGGCTCTCTCCAGCCACCCTGTGGCTGCTCGCTCCCAGCCCAGCCTGCTTCACTCCCCGGCTCAACCTCATCCCAGCTCAACCTCATCCTGGTTTAACCTCATCCCAGCTGGAGCCAGACACACCCTGATGGCCTTGGCAGAAGCAGTAGCTCGCTGGCGCGTGATCAGGCCCTGTCCATGAGCAGGAGGTTCCTCAAACCTTGCATCCCTTCCTCTGTGGTTCTGCTTCACAGCAGCTCAAAGCACAGCTTCTCTAAGCTGCCAGGTTTGCAGGGTGAAGAGAGGCTGCGATCCAGCAAAGCACCTGGCAGACAAGGCCAGGATGGTCATGTCTCCCTCCTCAGAGCCTGCGTTTGTCTTGGACTGTTCAGCTCTGGGGGTAGGAGCAATTCAAATGCCCCAAAAGAGATTTTTCCCTAGAGCAGTGGCTCTCTCAGAGGTTTTTCCAAGTCACTTGTAATGCCAGGCTGCCCTTGGGTGAGAGCACTGCTGCTCTGGGGCTGGGATTAACCCTGGCCTGGGTCTTCTTCCTCCTTGTCCTCAGAAGTGCCTGGTATCACCTCATAGCACAAGTCTGTCCTGAGGATGCAAGGCAAAGGGGAGGACACAGCAAAACCTCCTTCCTCTCCTTATTCAGACTGAGCCACAGCCACAAAGATCTTGCTCTGTCCTCAGACCACCTGGGAAGGTTAAAACACCTGGGGAGACTCTCCCAGCCTTGCCCACGCTGTCACCCCACCCCTGTACCCCAAACACCACGGATCACTCTGCCTACGGCACGGCGACACTGCCCAGCAGCCCTTGGAGGGCTGGCCAGCTTCCTGGTGAAAAGCCACGTGAAAAGCCACGAGTACCTGCACAGCACGTGTGCCCGCAGAGGGAGGGAGAAGCCACACATGGCTGCAGCCCGCCTGCTCCTGCCTCGGCGCCGTGCTCGGGCGCCCACTCCTGCCTCGGCGCCGTGCTCGGACGCCCACACGAGCAGCACGCGCGCACACGTGTGTGTGCCTGCAGCTAGAGATGCAGATAAGACAGCTATCGAAATATGCTATAAATATCTCCAACCCTCTGTGCTGCTGGCACACCGGCACGACAGGGCGCCAGAGGCCCTCTGGGTGCTGGCAGAGCTCCGGTGCGTCCGGGAACGGGATGTGGAGAAGCTTGTTTTGGCAGAATCTGGCAGTGGGGGCTGTGGGGGTAGGACACGAGGGCCAGGAGATGGGATTTCCCTGCCTCGTATCACAGCAGGGACATTGTCCCCATAGCCCAGCATCAGACCCGGGGAAGGACTGGGTGTTGGCTGGTGCTTCTTGGCCCATGTCCCATCTCCTGTTTCTCCCAGGGGATCTGGCAGCGCACCCTGAGCAGGACGGGCAGGGAGAGGAGCCAGCTCTGGCTCCC